ACCGTGACCAACGTCTGTCGGACATAAAATACAGATGTTTTTTTACTTCTGTGCTTTGACTTGTATCATGTTGTGGAGATTGTTTTGACCAATAAGTCAGTTTAGACCTCGCTGAAGGCTCTGATAGAACAAGTCAAATAAAACATTTGGTTTCCTCCTGTAAGATGATGATACTGCTGTATTGGAATAGAGTGGAAGAAATACTCTCTGATAATGCTTTTAAGTGTGTAAGCTGCCGACTTCAAGGAAATGTGTGTGTGTTTTGTTCAAATTGTTGGGTGTGTCTCTGCCAGCATCCTGGAGCGATTTGACGGCAGTTGTTTATACACGTCTAAACATATAAAGTGAGTGGCAGTGTTTAATAAAGGTGTTTACGTGGTTAGCATGTAGGTATTTTTAGCCAGGAGCCGTTGTTTAGCCAGGGTAACTCCTTACTAACACTCAACAATCAAGTATCCTCATTGCGTGAGAGAAAGCTTTGCACAGAAACCTGTGAAAAAAGAGCCACTAAGCAACAACTTAAACGGCCTGATTCAAACAATGACTGCTGAAAAATACCCAAAACATTTCTGAACATTAAAGCATGAAAACTCTGGTTTCAGACAGAGGGTGAAAAGAGGTGCTGCAGCACAGGCAGTATGAGACAAATAAAGAGCTTTTTGAACATTAAAGGTCCCCTATTATACTGTCTTTCATCAATATATTATAGGTCTCAGATATATACAAAACATGTCTCTGAAGTGTTTGGCTCCAAACACCAAACAGATCATTGCAGCATTACCCATAATCCCCTCTGTTTCAGCCCTGTTTCAAAAGTGCTGATTCTCTGTCTGTTACTTTAGATGAAAATAAGGAGCCCCTCCCCACGCCCCTCTGAGAGATATTTGGTTAAAAAGAACACAATGGTGCTCTAGGAGGAGATTCAGGTGATAAGGTGGTGGGGGGGGGGTTACCTTGGTTGGTGATTGGCTAATGGTTACCAAGCTAAAACATCGTTATGACATCATAAAGTGGCCAAAATCTGATCAGCTCATTTTCAGACAGGTTTTTATATAAATGGATCAGGACAAAAAGAGAGGGGGTCTTTGTTCCTGACACTTTCAGAGTCTCTTTACACAGAGGGGACACATGGTGATATAGAAGAGACATGAAAAAGTGGATTTAGCATAATAGGTGACCTTTAAAACATGTAAACACGTCACACAGAGACACTAAATACAAATATGAACCTGGAAATGAGAATAGCAGGGCCCCTTTAAATAGAGAGGCTCTAATTGTCAAATATATTTAATTTGATTCAGATGAGCTGCTGCTGTCAGCCGATCACACAACTTGTGATTTAAAATAAAAGAGACAAGTTCATACAGAAAAACAAGCAGCTGTGAGGGTTTTCTCTGAGCTAAATGTTAGCATAGCAACACACTGATGAGGTGCAGATGTTTAACATGTTCACTCTTCGTCCATCCAGCATCATCTTCATCATACAGCTGAGGCTGATGGGAAACTCATTAGTTCTGCAGAATCTCTGGTTTTATGATGAACCGGAGGAAGGGGAAGTATTTTACTGATATTTTGAGAACATGCTGTGCTGAAAACCCCTTGGTGTCATACGGTCTCGCAGACAGCTTTAATGTACATTTGATAGTATTATCTCCCTTTAACATGATTATTATTCACATGAACTGTAATCTTTCTTCTACATAATTTGACTTGGTTTTAAATGCTGTTTTAATGCATTTTTACATGTAAAGTGTCTTTGAGTACCATCTATGAATTGAATGTATTATTCATAGTATAATTATTATTTTGTCTGTTTGTTTTTTACCTGTTTTTTTCCTCACTTACAAAAGAAAGGTCATTTGGTTTAAAGTCATAAACTAAGTCTCATGTTGTACTCTGTTCAAAACACCAAAACGTTTTTCCATAAAGTACAAAATGAATCAATAGATAAAAGCAAAAAGCTGTCATCAGATTATTACACGTGAGTTTTTACACAATATTTCATAGAAACTCTTCAATATTTGTTGAAACATTTCAGACTGGAACAAAGTGTTGGATCAATACTCCGGGAACCTCACGGCTGGAACATATGGAATAAAATAGTAAAGAGAAAATATGAGGAAATAAGAGTTTGTTTCACAGTAAAAACACAGAATGTACTTTGTGTCTGATCACTTTTCATAACATCTTTATTGAATTTGTGTCTCAGTTTTAAACATATTTACAGACTTTAATCGTTTTTTTTTTTAGTTCAGTAAAAATACAAATACAGAACACTACATTTTTCAAAATCATCGTTTCGCTCCCAGCGAGTGCCCAGGTTTCTGCCCGGGCTTTACCCCCCCCCGTCAGATGAAGGTGATGAAGATGATGATGATGATGAGGATACTGAGAGCCATGAATGGACCCCCACCAGAGAGAGAGGAGGGAGGGAGGAACATGTTGAATGTGCAGAGAAATATCCTGTATGTACACTGATCGATGCTAGATGAAGTTCCATAAAACTTTAAATAAAATAACAAGGGTGACTGCTGTTGTTGTGGAAGTGGATTAATTACATATAAACTAAGTGTAACATTGTCTTGAACGTTGGAAAGAAGTTTGGTTAAAATAGCTTGGACTTAAATCCTAAAAGCATTTTCCTAAAATATCTGTAACGTCTTCCTCGACCTGTCTGTCAAATCAGGACAGAGATGGTTGATGATTATGTTACTTGTTGATATTTTGAATTACATTTGCTGTTTTAAATTTATATTTCTGTCATCCAAACACACGAAAAGACCAAAACCAACAGTGTGTACGCTTTGTAAAGCTTTTTGAAGCATTTAGAGGCAAAGGGAAATAGCATGGCTACAATTAATCAATCACTCAAATGAAACCTTTCCATTTTTGTTGTGACCATATTGTTTTCATTCTGCACACACAATTATATTTTATTGACAGCTATCTTTGTCAGGAGCGGAGTTTAGAATATAATAATCTGAAAGTAAATCAGCATTTTGATACGTTTTAGAGAACCTTTAGTCATGTGACTGTGCGGTAAACAACATTTTAAATCGTTTCCTTGTTGCTTTGAGGCGTCAACTTCGTTTTGACTCCATCACAGTTGTGCATCGATCTACAGGTCAGAGGGCAAACAAAGCTTGTGCAAACAACAACCATAAAAAGAAATGTGGTTCATCATGATGTATTAAAAAAAACACAAAGCAAACGGAGAAAGAGCACAGTATTGGCCAAGGCGTCACACATTTGAAAATAAGGCTTGAAAAGAATCCGACGCACAATAACACACACACACTCAGACACACACACACACAATCATCCTGGTTTAGTGCAATTCCTACTCTTCGGATCAAACTTCACAAAAATCATATTTAGTAGTCGTATTCTCATTACTTTCTTTCTCCGTTTCTAAACCAGTCAGTTGATACGTAGAGTTTGGACACATTGCAGATTCACGTCACACAAACGTATTAATACACACACACACACACACACACACACACACACACACACACACACACACACACACACACACACACACACACACACACACACACACACACACACACACACACACACACACACACACACACACACACACACACACACACACACACACACACACACACACACACACACACACACTTTGTTAAAACAAACATGGCAAGTGGATCAGAAAAAAAACGTTAATTCGAAAAACTAAATTTGAGCATTTTGGAGATGGAGGATGAAGTTTTTGGTGGTTTGACTGAAATGTTGACCTTCAAAAAGAACATTTTTCAACATTGGATGATTTAAGCTGAATACTGAGTCACTCAACATCTCCTCCTCCTCTCTGCTGCCATTTCTCTTCCTCCTGGTAGCATTTCTCGTGGTTCAGATATAATTGTTGCCATTGTTATAACAGCTGCTGCTGTCACATTGTAAGAAATATAGCCTTCATTAAAACATCATATTTCTTATCTTGAAAAATAAGTCTTGTGCAAAAATATTTCCACTTGAGTCGCAGATTATAGAGGTTGAAATGGTCTTTCTTTAATTTTTGAAATTGCAACATTTTCCGTAGCATTGATATGAACAGTTATAAGATTGTTTGGTTTTCTGCAGCAGTACTTTAGGTTTTTAGTCAGTGTTGTTTCTAGGGCTGTCCCGAATACCATTTTTCGGGCTCCGGATATTCGGTAGTAATCAGCGGCGGGGGGGGGGGGGGGGCGGGGGTGCGTAGTAATCAGCAGCGAACCGCTTCAACACGTGTATTTCGGTTTATTCACGGCATTCATTTTGAAATTGAAAAGGATATTGCATTGTGTTTGTTACTTTCGTTGCAGTTATATATAGCCGCTTTCACACCAAGTACTTTGCCGTACTTAAGTACCCCCATGGAACTAACATGCTTTTATTTTGAAGGAGAGTTAGCGTTGTTGACAGGAAGTTGTTGTTGCTATGGAAACACCGTGACGGAAATTAACGGAGAAAAGTCATATCTACATATAAAGACGGAGAAAGTAAACAATAAAGTTTATGGTTAAGTGTTAGCACCCCCCGAAGAGGCACAAGCTCTTACGTTGATATTGGAGTTTTCAATAAATTCAATTTGGCTACCAAAAAAACCGAATACGAATATCCGAATAACGAAATTGAAACCCGAATAGTTCACCAACGAACGAATATTCGGGTACAGCCCTAGTTGTTTCCGAGCATGAAATTCACCCGTGTGTTTTTAAAGAGTCAAATAACTGCTTTATGCACACATTGAAAATCAGCATTCAGAAGATCTGTCACTCTCTTTCAGAGTTGTTTTGGTTGTTCTCTAACGTAATATTTAGTAACAGACTGTATTATCTATTATCTAAGCAAAGCAGTAAATCCCTCGCACAGCTTCAGATGAAACAGAGAGAGTTGTGTGTCGGGAGAGATAAGCGAGCCAGATGTGAAGATTTTAACTTTTTTTGAAGATATGATGATGGGGACGAAAAAAGGTGAATTGAATCTGTACAGTAGTTATTCGTCATGATTGTTTACTGAACAATAAACCCAAAGGGGACATGCTTGCAGCTTTATAATGTACATTTAACAGGTGATATATATTTCTCAAAAGCTCAAACTGTTTTGTGATTTAGAGATTATCCAAAAACTTGGACATTATTAAATGAATGTTTTTTAAATTAGCCTTTTCTGGAAAACCTCAGAAACAAATCCTCAAGAGTGTTCATATGTTTTGTTTTAGTTAAGGAGTATGAAGGTTACAATGGACAAGAGAAGAGAAGGAATGAGAAGCGAAGAGACAATTAAAGCAGGAATGTAAAAAATAAGTGGTTGAGAACGGTATAGTTCATACAATTTACGTGATATACGGAGCGACTGCTGCATGCTGGGAGCTCAGCAGGGAGCCTATATTCAGCTCTTTCAGTGCTACACTTCTATTTCTCTCTTCTTCAAAGTCTTCCCATACAAAGTGCACAAATCAATGATTTACAGCAGAGGTTATCTTACCCACACACACCCACACACACACACACACAGACACTCATACTCATACAGAAGCATTACTGGATCCTTCAAAAATGTGTTATGAGAAGGCGAGAAATAAGAGAACAAATTGAGGGGATAAATGGACAGGAACTATTGTATGATCAGAAAAAGGTGGCGGAAAATGAACAAATGTAGCAGCACTCGGTGACGTTAATATCTGGGAGAGGAACTGGAAAGATGTCGAGGTGTGGAGAGAGAAGATGGAGAAGCTGCTGCTGTCCAGGTGGAGTTACTGTTCACTTACAATGGTCCACTGTTCTGAAAAAAGGATGATTAGAGGAGTAAAAGGAGGAGGAGATACAACCCGCCCTCGCACTGATGATGTGACGAGCTGCTAATAGTTCCAGGTCAAAGTCCATCAGATGAAGATTAAACAGGAAGTGGAGTAAGACGAGTAAGAGGAGGGTTCAGGGAGAAGCGAAGGGCTTTCATTCAACCCTGTGTCCCCATGAGTCCAAACAAAAAAAAACACATCAACAGACCCTGTAAAGTCCTCAAGTCAGTCAGTCTGGAAGAGAAACAAACACACTTCCATCAGTACAGTGTCAAACTGACTGTAATCCTTCACAGAAAACCCATAATGCCTCAGCTTGAGTCTGTATGGGAGTAGAGTTTGGTCACTAAAAAATAATAACAAAAAAACAAACAAATCGAGCCTGTATTAGAGCTCGGTCCTTCAGAGTCAGTTCAAGCCAGTCGCGAGGCTGAGCAGCAAAAAACGCCGTCTTTCAGAGAAGACAGAGAGAGAGTCAAAGAGTAAAACATAGAAGAAGAGAGAGGGTCTCTACGTCCCCTCGGGAGGCTCTCCATCATTCCTCTGGTTGATGTCTGCAGTCCAGAAGCAGTAGAGAGTCTGTGGAGCTGAATGTAACTGTGTCCAGTGTTGGTGGGTTGTTTGTCGTTCAGACAGGTGGCGCCCCCTGCTGCTGTGGAGGAGAACAACACTTCCTGTTCACTGCTGAGACGGATCGCTGCCAGGCAGGGTGATGTTGCCCAGGTGGAGCACAGGCAGCGGGTGAGCCTCCGTGTTGAAAACCCAACTGTCAAAGGGCATCAGGTCGTCGCTGGAGAACAGCAGGTACAGATACCTGAGGGGGGGAGGGGGTTAGGAAGGGGAGGAAGTAGAAGAAAAAGGAAATTACATCACTGCAGGTTTGTTAAAGGTCCCCTATTATATTGTTTTTCATCAATATATTACAGGTCTCAGATATATACAAAACATGTCTCTGAAGTGTTTGGCTGAAACACCAAACAGATCATTGCAGCATCCCATAATCCCCTCTGTTTCAGCCCTGTTTCAAAAGTGCTGATTCTCTGTCTGTTACTTTAGATGAAAATAAGGAGCCCCTCCCCACGCCCCTCTGAGAGATATTTGGTTAAAAAGAACACAATGGTGCTCTAGGAGGAGATTCAGGTGATAAGGTGGGTGGGGTTACCTTGGTTGCTGATTGGTTAATGGTTACACAAGCCAAAAAAACGTTATGACATCATAAAGTGGCCAAAATCTGATCAGCTCATTTTCAGACAGGTTTTTATAGAAATGGATCAGGACAAAAAGAGAGAGAATCTTTTTTCCTGAAACTTTCAGAATCTCTTTACACAGAGGGGGCACATGTTGATGTAGAAGAGACATGAAGAAGAGGATTTTGTATAATAGGTGACCTTTAAAATAGAGCAAACAATGTTGGTTTAAGTACAAGCAGCACATAATCCTGACTTTGTAGCTAAATATGTATTAATATGAATGGTGTATTTAGCTATTGCTGTTAAAGCTCGAGTAGTTTTAATCTTACATTGCTTCTATATTCTACTTCAATATTATTTGTTTACTTTATTTGTTTAATATTTATTTCCTTTTTCAGACTTGTGGTTTTGAAAGCAGTTTGTGTCCGATTGGTCACACTGCTCCATCTGGGTATTTCCCTTTAAAAATGTTTTTTTAATTAAAGCTGAAGGGACTTTTAGAACGTGTTGGACAGTACACAACTTTAACTGACGAAATATGTACATTTGGAGGGGTATTTCCACTCAAAAAAAGTTGACCAAGCAACAAAGAAAATGTTAATTTGTGTGCGACGTGAATTTCAGCTACAGATTTATAGTGTTACAATTTAGTGTAAAAGGTTGGGTCTTGATCTCATAGAGAGTTGTAGTCCCATGAATCCAGCTTTACACTGTGTGACATGTTTGTTGCCATATGGACCTAGGAGCTACACAAAACGTTAATATATATACACGTATCATATTTACATTTGCATCTAATTCTAATGGACATACAGTACCATCATTATGTCTGGATTACTGTGACAAAAGGCGGGATTTGATGTTTCTGCAAATTGAAATATTGCGCACAATATATCAGTTATATTCATATACTGTAGATATGAGGTTTCTTATCCTTCATTTGAATTATTTAGGAAACCTGATTAACATTAAAACTAATCTGACAAACACACACAGTGCTGAAGTAATTAAGTTTCACTCGACAGGGGTCTGGATGCTACATCTTTGTGCAGATCAGTGTGGCTGGCAGCCAATCAGGAGGAGCCTGCTGCCGTAGAGCTTTGATGTGATTGGCCGGCAGCCAGTGGACAAAGACTGAGAGCAGAAAGACTCCAAAGGCTGCAGAACATCGAAGCATCCAAATGTCATCATCTCAGGGAGTTAGCAGCCAGTGTGGCACGTGGCCTTTAACGACTTATACACAGAAGACATATTCTCCTGGTGTTTGGTGATGTTTGTTTCAGAGTTTAAGTTTAAAGGGCTGATTAGTAGCAAACAGAGAGACTTACGGAGCAAATAAAGCCCAGTTTGCTCTGTTTTATGATAATGTTTGTCACACAAATTGATTGACAGTAACAACCAGTGGTGGAAGAAATACTCATGGTAGCAATACCAAAGTGAAAAAATACTCTGTTACAAGTACAAGTCCTGCATTCAAACTCGTTTTAAGTAAAAGTTCAAAAGTATTGGCATGAAAATATAGTTATAGTAACAAAAGTAAAAGTATGCTTTATGGCCCATTTCAGAATAACATATTATATGCAACTACTGGATTATAATCAATGATGCATTATTGTGTTCATCTCAGCTGGAAAGATGGAGGTAATTAAAACTACTAGCTATACTGCTGCTGGCTTTCTTTACCAATAATTAGATGTTTATTTATTAGTTGATTATATTTTGTTTTAGCTAATAATCCTAATCTGTAAAGTAACTAGTAACAGCTGATGTCTGTCCTGAATGAACCAACAGTCAAAGATCCACCAGCAGGGGGCGGCAGAGCCACATTGAAGGGTCTGCATTTAGAGCCTCCTCTCCATCAGTGATGCTGATAATGATGCATCAGAGTAGCCATTAGTCAGCATTGAAAACACTGTGTGGCAATACATGGAATAGAAATAACAGCAGATACCAGTGGGTTAACTCCTGTTTGAGTAATGCTGATATGCAACAATTGTATTGACCATAAAATAATGCTTTTACTAGCCCTGTGGTAAGCACATATTCAGCCTATTGTAGGGACAGTAGTAATGGAATAAGAAGGAGCAGCGACAGTGAGATTAGACAAAACTAAAACCTCTAACTTTTAGGTAAACACAAATTCTTAAAGGAGAGGTGTCATGCTTTTCCGGTTATTACCCGTCCCCTTGTGTGTTATGAAGGTTTTTATGCATGTAAACGGTGTGCAGAGTGAAAACCCTCAAAGTACACCCTATAACGAGTAAAACTCTAACACAGAAAATACCTCCCCAAAACGCCTCGTTGGAGATACGTCATTGTCCATTTGATTCTTCCGGGACGGCATGATGTCAAGCCGTACCCGGACGAAATGGACCAATCCGTGGAGCCGTTACCTTACGTCCGCGGAGCCGTTACTTTAAGCCCCCGCTGATTGGTCCAAATTGATTCAGTGAATACAAGTAGTTTACAGAGATGCTGTATGCGAAACCAATGTGAGTTTGGAAAATTGCACAGTATAAATCTATTTTAGTATACCTCAACAATGGAATTATGATCAGTGGAAATGGCCATGACACCTCTCCTTTAACTGATATCGGTTTTAAGAGTGCGGATGTCAACATGCCGTAGTGTTCTTGGGCAAGACACTTCACCCTAAATTGCTCCTGTGGGTGTTGTCCACAGTATTCAGTCTATTACATGTCTAATATATGTAATATGTCATGTAAAGCGATTTGAGCACAAAAATGAAATACCATGAATTATTATTATTTCTTTGCTAAAACATCTTAAATATATTTGGCTGTGCTGTAAAGAGATGCATCGACTGCTCTTCTGTTGAGTTTCTGATAAAGCAGCTGCTAAACGAGTGGTGGGTTAGTTTTAAAAAGGCACTCTCTGGTATCATCAGTTATATCAGTATCACTTTAAAACCTTTCAAATAAACCGGGGTTTTGGGTCTGTCTTTAAGTAAAACATATTTTTTTGTTGAACACCTATGAGTGACATGCTGCTGCTTTTATCTTTGCAAAACAATTCAGCTTATTACATTTTTTTTTAAATAAAGAAAATTAGCAAGTAATGAAGCAATCACTTATTTAGCTGACAGGCCCTTTCAGTCAGCACTAAATCATTGCATTCTCCACCAAACAAAAGTGATTAATTAATTATAACAAGTACAGATGATTCATAGATCAGGTTATTTAACCCTTAGATGCATAAGTGGGTCTTTTTTGACCCGGTGAGGTGGTTTTCTTGAAGTATCTTTGTAATTACATTTTTTTATCATTTCATATTCCAGCTATTCCTCAAAAAACATGTTTTGGATATCATGCCATTCTAATTTTTTATTTAAATTTTAAGAAATTGTAGTTTTTGTATTACTACCACAAGCTTCCATAAGTGGGTCTTTTTGGACCCGGTGAGGTGGTTTTCTTGAAGTATGTTTGTAATTAAAAAAATGTATCATTTCATATTCCAGCTATTCCTCAAAAAACATGTTTTGGATATCATGCCATTCACATTTTTAATTTACATTTTAAGAAATTGTAGTTTTTGTATTAGTACCCCAAGCTTCCATAAGTGGGTCAAAACTGACCCGCATGCATTTCCTATGGAATCCTATGGGAATTTTTTTTTTTTCAAAATGTAAAAGAAATTTCTAAAATTATAAATAGTGAAAAATTAAATATAAAATATTTCTAGTGTGAACCAAAATATAATACTAAATATTATACAAGAGATTTTTCTTAACCAAAATGACAAAAATGTTTGTTTTAAATCGTTGGCTTACTTTAGCGTCTCGGCCAGGAAGAAGCTCTGCTGCACGTCGTCGTAGGTCGGGTTGGAGGAGTAGACGTCCTTCACCCCGGAGAAACCTCCACTCACCCTGCAGTACTTATCAATGGCCTGGAGGAGACAAGGAGGGAGGGAAGAGGAGATGAAGAAGGAAAGGGGACAAATGAGGAAGAAGGAATAAAGGCAACAAATATGGAGGGAAAGGGAATGAAGAAAAAGGATAAAGAAGAATAGTGATAAATAATAAACAGAAATACATAAAAGGAGAGAAATGAAGGTAAAACAAATGATAGGGGGATTACATGGATAAAGACAAATAAGGAGAAGTGAAAGGAAAGGGGGAGAGACAGTGTGAAAGGGAGGGGAGGAGACAAAGAGAGAATGTTTAATAAGCTTACTAATGCATGCTTTAATTAATTTCTTTGCTTGTGACAGATTAGAGCGAGTCCTGGGGAGCCACACAGGAAACAGCTGCAGGAAAAGAAGATTATCACAACACCCCCCCCCCCCCTGCATTTACATGTTTCTCTATAAAAGGTGATTCTTTTCCATCTTCTACACGAATCATTCAATTCAAGTAATGCTGCATCTGAGTGAGTAGAAGTTTAATTTGGGGTCATTTCACAATCTCCTTTTATTACGGTCCATACTGTATTTACCCGAGCTACGTTTATATTTGGACCTTCTTATGTTTAATTTAATGTTTTTTTTCCTATTTTACTTCATCTGTAATTGGACATTTTTCTTGAATATCTTTTTTTTCTACATAAATAACTTTATTTCTTTTAATTGTATTTTATTATTATTGCACAATTTTATTTATATTATTTATTTAGGATCTGTCATGAAACCCAATTTAAACCGGGATAAACAAAACAATATTTTGATTCTACCCTATTATATACAATACTTACCCCTTAATGTACTATTTACGTTTCTGCACATCACGTTCATATCTCACTATTTCATCTTAAACAAATGTCAATATACATTTTACCGCTGCTCAGGTTAGATCAGGGGTGTCAAACTCAAGGCCCGGGGGCCAAATCCGGCCCGCCACTTCATTGTATGTGGCCCACAAGAGCTTGCAAATAATATAATACGTTTATTATAAGGTCATGTGCCGCTTTACAGGAGCACGTTGCCCATAAACTACATGGCCCACAATGCATCTCATTCTGTGAGATGCACACTGAAGAGACTTGCAATTACTTACTAGACTTCTGCTTTCAGGCGTAGTTAATTATGAAGTTATTACCCTATCCGATAATAATCCAATGCAGAGGAAATATTGTAAAATAATACATTATTTTATATATATATATTATGTATATTTATATAGTCTTAAAGTTACCACCGGCCCTTTGAGTGCAACCATTTCTAATGTGGCCCGCGATGACACCCCTGGGTTAGATGCTCAACTGCATGTCATTGTCTCAGTACTTGCACTCAGAGATTTTATTTCAAACATGTGTTTAGTTTTTACTAGCTGAGAAAACAACATGTAATCTGTGTGTTTGTGGACTCTAAGCCACAGTCAGAGTGAGATTGAATCAGATTTATTTAGATGTCAGATGTTGTTTTGGATTGTCTTTAAATCCCAACAAAAAGACACATGGTGACACGGTCTCTCCGGGACACATGTAAGCCACTTTAGGTGCTTTGAATTGTGCTTTAAATCCCCTCTCTGCTTTATTCACTTTGGCTTTCCAGGCTTTATCTCCGATCCTCCACACGACAGATGTAACAGATGTTTTGAGGACAACAAAAACAGCAAACATGGAGGAAAGCCAGCCAGTCAGATAACAGCAGAGCCTCGTTCATTTCAACGGTTTAATGCTCGCTGTTTCTTCACTGCAACTCATAAAAACATTAAGAATAAGCAACATGATGATAGCAAGTCTTCTGCATGTTGCATCCCATGTGTCCATTAGGGCTGCACCAATAACTTAAATGTTATCGAAATCGCAATATAGACACAAAAAAAGCTATATTTAAATTACAGCAAGCACAATATTGGCAAAAAGGCAAAACTATTAGAAAAAATTATGCAAACAAATGTTATCTTCTACTGTGATCACCAGAGATATTGATTCCTAAAATATATGACCTATTCTAAACATATCCATATTTCCTTATTTATTTCTGTTGATTTTTCATTCTAACATCCGCACTTCAAATACAAGATTTAGACATTAATAAATGTGTTAACTGTGGTGCTGATGATTTGTCTTTTTCAGGATTTAGCACCCACCTACTCATCGAAACCGAGTGTGCTGATTTTCTGTCACTTCAGATAACCAAACAATTTATTCCAGATCACACTTCAGTAACTGTGCTGTTTATTTCCCCAAAAGTGTGACATATCAGTGTGCAAGAAAGAAAATGAGAAAATGTCCTCACATATAACAGCGCTGTGCACCACAGAGCTCCTGATGCCCTATCGACTACATGTTGAGCCCTATTTTGCCCTGAGTGGAGTAAAAGTGGTGAAAACAAGTCTAATCTGTGAGCAGGAGCTTCTCCCCTCCACACACACATACACACACACGATTCAGCTCAAGGCTCATCGAAAAGGCAGCGATGTTCCAGCTGGTGAAACCGACTGTTCCCCATTACCTGTGTGCTCTATTGATTTGCAATGAGGACTTGTTACAGTGAAATTGGTGCCACCGTAAAAATGTTGGCAGCATTACACTCCTGCTTATACCTTATTGACTTTCACTACTAACGTGTAATGAGATTGAAAGAATTATCTCTGTCCTTGTCTCTCACACACTCATAAACGACCACTCACACACACCATCACACACGTCTTCTCCCTCCATACCGTCCTCAAGGAGACAAGGAGTTCGGACAATAATGCCTGTTATTCACGGTTTGCTGCGCCCAACGTGGGTTTGCCCTTCTGGATCCAAACTGCAAAATCCTGTGCAACAAACACACACTCACACACACACTTTAATATCAAGCTAAGTGTACCCACCATTATGTCTAAGTGCTTGGAAGACACATAAACAGGAAGCCTTTGCTTTTAAAAAAATGGTCCACTACCCTTCAAATCTATTTTACAGGGTTAAAGTATCTATCCCAGGGATGGGCAACTTTGATGGTGGTGGGGGCCACATAATTGATGTACTGGCCACCAGGGGGCCGCAGATTCACTTGGAACACACACACAAATTCCATGTATTATATGTAATTATTAACAAATATACTAAGTCTGACATCTTCATTGACATGTTACAATCTTTCAGGGAACATCCTCTAATAAGCTCACAAAACAAATATCAGTTCACAGAAATGTTATTTAATTGTGTGGCCATTAAGTGGCATGTTTGTATTGAGCAGGTTATTTAACAGTGGAATAAAACTATTTTAAACTATTGGAAAGCACGGAAAATGTGTGTGCATTGAGATTAACCATTAAGATGACATAAACATGAAGTCATGAACACTAACCCAGACATTAGTTGTCTAACTTGAACCTAACACACTTGTAGCCTGTCTCTGCATTCCCCTTCAACACAGACACCTGTCAACCCGCACTCTGCTGTTCCTCAGCGCCGCTCCCCCTCCCTCCCGCTGAAATTATGAATGAAAAGCGTATAGTAATCATAGATAACACGGCAGGGTCCGTGACAGTTTGTTTTCATCTGATTTCAAATAAACAAAGTCTTGGTTTTTAGAATATTAAACTTGTTTCGCCAAATTCAGATGATAAATACAGCTTTTAAGCTTGTAAAGGCATAATTACAATCGGTAACTTAACGTCACAGCAGGCATAACAACAGCCGGTGTTTCTTGTGAGTGTTTCCCCGGGAAACAAACACAATACACACAAACGCGTCACAGATTATTTTGCAGTTATGCCGAACAAAATCATGTACGCAGCTCGCGACGTAACTAGGAGTCTAGTGGACGGTATCAGTACTACAAGTAAAACATTTAAAAAAAAAAAAAAAAAATACGTTGTTTATACCTGATCTATCCAGTATAACTCTACCTATAAATGTAGAACACACACACACACACACACACACACACACACACACACACACACACACACACACACACACACACACACACACACACACACACACACCACACACACACACACACACAACACACCACACACACACACACACACACACACACACACACACACACACACACACCACACACACACACACACACACACACACACACACACACACACAACACACCACACACCAACACACACACACACACACACACACACACACACACACACACACACACACACACCCACACACACACACACACACACACACACACACCGGTCAACCAGAGGTAAAGGCTGCAGTGAAAAGAGGAAGCGTGACAGAACCAGGTTTAGTGTAGCAGATGGATGCAGCTGGAGTACAGAGAGTGTGAGAGTGTGTGTAGGCGTTGGGGGGAAGGGTTAGCTTTGGGGCATCGCACAGAGAGCATTGCAGGTGTTTGTGAGGAGAGTGTGTGTATGTGTTGCGGATATAGAGACCAATGGAAGAGTAGGATGCTGAGCCTCGTGTGAGCATGTAGAGCCTCAGGTGGTATGTGTGTGTGAAAGAAACATGAAGAGACATACCGTTAAACAGAAAAGGAAAACAAATGTATAGATGGAAAAAATGGAAAAGAGAGAGGGATATGAAAGAGAAAGCATAACAAACAGTACGAGTGTCTAAGATGGCCCAAATCTGAACTTTATACTCATACTAGGCAGGCTTTCAGTGTGTAGTGTGTGCACACCGGTATATTTCTGTTATAAAATTGTTAAATATGTGGTTTTCTATCAGTAACTGCACAAAAGTCATATGTTTATGTGCATAATGCTTGACACTTTACCTTCCCAGTGCACTTCCTGTTTTTGTTTTGTCATTTTCTTTGTGTGTATCACAATCATGGACGCGGGAAGGGGGGTGCTGAGGGGGCTGCATCACTCCCATCTGCGAGGCTCCACTAGCACCCGCACCTCCCCCCCCCCACACGCGGTGCACCTACAGTGTAAGCGCGCCACAGTTTCTCCGCTGCAAGGCTCCACTAGCACCCCCCCCAGCGCATCAGTTTCGCCGCTGCAAGGCTCCACTAGATCCACTCCCCCCCCCCCAGCGCATCAGTTTCTCCGCTGCGAGGCTCCACTAGCACCCCCCCCCCCCAGCGCATTACAGTTTCTCCGCTGCAAGGCTCCACTAGATCCACTCCCTCCCCCCAGCGCATCAGTTTCTCCGCTGCGAGGCTCCACTAGCACCCCCCCCCCAGCGCATCACAGTTTCTCCGCTGCGAGGCTCCACTAGCACCCCCCCCCCCAGCGCATCACAGTTTCTCCGCTGCGAGGCTCCACTAGCACCCCCCCCCAGCGCATCACAGTTTCTCCGCTGCGAGGCTCCACTAGCACCCCCCCCCCAACGCATCACAGTTTCTCCGCTGCGAGGCTCCACTAGATCCACTCCCCCCCCAGCGCATCACAGTTTCTCCGCTGCGAGGCTCCACTAGCACCCCCCCCCAGCGCATCACAGTTTCTCCGCTGCGAGGCTCCACTAGATCCCCCCCCCCCCCCCGCACCCCCAACTCTGACTGACTTCCCGCGTCCCTGATCACAATGGATTTAGCTAGAAACTGTAGTTTAGAAACCCTGTGTTGTTTACTGACAAGTAACGACCCTTTAATCCTGAAAATCTTCAAAACACAAAATGGTGGATTACCAAAATAATAACGGCACAGGATTTTTAAATTACAGCAAGAAGTGACCTTCATGCTGGGAAGAAAATCAGTGCCAGTGTGAGCTAATGCTAGCACATCTATATTCAGCAAAAAGCAAGCTGTAAAGCAGGTCAATCTGAAATGATGCATAGCAACATTTAGTAAAAGTATTATTTGTTCTGTATTTTACTTACAACAATTAAATTACAACTGGCAGCATCTTATATCTGCAGCAAACTAAAGGGGTGATTTTTCTTTGACTTTTCACCTACAAGTGATGAAAAACCACTTTGTCAATCATTTTCTTTATGTTAGCAGCGCAACTTTTCTTAAACTTTGACACTTCTGAATGTTAAATATGCTAAACTGATCAAAACAACATATAGGGTCTTTCATCTATATTACTATGCATGTATAGAAGCGATATGAAATAATGCAAGAGAGGCAAAGACGAGCCCTTCAGCAGCCGCTCTCCTTAGTGTCACTCACGCTCAGTGCAAACACACGTCATGAACACACTTTGGAAATGTATTTGCTTTCAACACGAGTGTGAGCGCACTTACTCCCACTCAGGAAAACAAAGGGAGATAGTTTCACGCTTCAACATGGAAGAAAATAGGTGACAAGAAGATTGGCAGGAGAACAATAAGAGTATGAAAAGAGTGGGTGAGAAGAAGAACATATAAAGAGCAGGCCGGTGGAGACACGTCGATGCTGTATGGAAGATGAGCTCTTTGATCCTCTGTCAGGAGGGAGTGGAGAGGATAGAGGGGATCTCATTTCTGTTCTACTTTCACAGAGGTGTTCTTATTAATGCACAAAGGAGAAGAATACATAACTAATAACACCTGCACATGTTTCCAACACGGACACAAGAAGAAGGTTTTTTACAACATGCTTTGCTGCAAGTTCAAAATCTGGGTGTTTACTGAAGACACTGTTAGCTATCTGCCAAGCTAGAAATCACTTCTACATTTCAGCAGGGGCCGAATAAGTAATCGTAAAGCCTTATTTTTCATTTAATCATTTGTTCATGCTAGAAAACCTTTGAACTAAGATGCTGGTTCAGAGACAAATGGAGCGAGCACTCATGCAAAGTCTGAAGAAACTGTGCATGAGTGTTTAAATACCTTCACTTTCCAAAAATACATATATTTAAGAGCTTGGAATTTGACCAATCTCAAGCCACAGACATTACATAAAGGGTAACTATTTGACATCTACGAAGATATTAAAGCACATGTTTAAGGGTGCAACTCGTGTTTCTCACTGAAGGGTGAGAGCATGGACCTGTGCTGCCTACTTATAATATTTAATTTCATCTGTGACTTTGCTTTTAATACATTAGTTCATGCCACAAAGCAAAGTGAATGTTCTAATATGTCTAAGTGCCTCCAAGATCAGCCAAAGCTTTACTCTGCCACCGCATTCATCTTCTGTTAGTCATCAGCACACACACACACACACTCTGCTTTCGGACCTCATGTTAAGAATGATATGTATACTGAACGCAGGGCTTTGGCAGCCATACATACATTTCACAAGCTCTCACAGCAAACACAGAGACTTTATAAGTTATAACATCACAGCGCGTAATGAGGAAGACACTGATGGTGCAGAGTTAAAGGACACAGAGAAGCAGAGAGTAATAAAAACACTGTCAAATACTGTTAAAGTGAGCAAGCCACTGCTTTGATTTGAGGCCCTTCTATTCATTCTGTTAAGCTACCGGTAGCTGGAGTGGCCAAAAAGAACCAAGAAAAAGAGAGGCCATCAGTTATCAAATGTTATATACCAAATAAAACTTCAGCAGAGTCGTCCTGATTTGATAAAACCGTTTCCTTATTAGATTTACGAGGAAGCTGCTCTAAATGTTTCCTTGCCCTTTTGAAATATGTATAAATAACGGAGTTAACTGCACCTTACGGGGGAAAGTCAGCTGAAATGATGTTTTAACACTTTGAAATGTCCTCGCTTTTAAACTCTCACATATCAAGTGAATACATGTTTTCCATTTTCTATGTAATCCTGCTCAGGATGACCCTGACCTTGTTGACTCTGAAGTAGTTTGACTATCTCACTCCAAACTTAATTGAAAAGTTGGCAGCCCTGTGGAAGCTGCTTTTGATAAGTAAGAACGTGCTGTTGATTAACTGGAGCTGGAGAAAGTGGATTTAGGAATCATCACATTTTCTTTTCATTTCTTTCTCCCTAGGGAGGTGTTCCAGGCACGTCCAGCTGGGAAGAGACCGAGGGGTAGACCTAGGACCAGGTGGAGGGATTATATCTCTTCGCTGGCCTGGGAGCGCCTTGGGACCCCCCCAGTCAGAGCTGGTTGATGTGGCCAGGGAAAGGAACGTTTGGGGCTCTCTGCTGGAACCGCTACCCCCGCGACCCGACCACGGATAAGCGGGAGAAGATGGATGGATGGATGGACATTTTCTTTTGACAACATGGTTAATTAAAGCACTGGAAAAAATGCTGCTCCAAAAACTATTTAAAAATAAGTTTTCACTTGAAATAAGTGCAATAATCTGCCAATAGAACAAGTAAGATTTTCCAATAAAAATGAAAAAATAAATAAATGTAATCTGAGATACAGCTCAAAATAAGATTATTTGACTTACCAAGACGATGCATTGCACTTATAGCAAGATACTGGGCAAGATTTCGGGTTTTTGTAGTGAGAGGAGAAAATACCTTTTTCAAACTGCCTTGATTTCTTTGTATTAAAGCTGCCATTTAGCAGGACTCATGCACCCTGCTGTGATTCATTGCTCACTTCATTTCAGGTTGATTTTGCACCATCACTAAGCACCTTCTCCCTGAACTAAATGTTGCTCTCTCTGTGATGCCGTGTTTTTGAGAGCAGTGCATTTGAGCAGAGCTTATGATTCGTGTTGTGAACGTCTCCATCAGACTTTCCCTTTTTCCTGGCTGTACTCCATTTAACAATGCCAGCGCCTCTGAGTGCTTAAGCTCCTTTTCTTCTGGGAGTCTTAAAACTATTCTTGTTTTGTGCTGCAAAGCAAATCCAACAGATGTCTCAGCAGATCCTTCCTGCTGAGTCACATTGTGCAAAGCCACACGAAACGCTTATGGAATTTAATATTAATATACATTCAGATGTTCAAATGTCGGGCTAAATCACGACTTAGTAGTTCTAGATTTGAAACACTTGTTTGTTGTGTACCTGCGCTGCCTCCCAGCCCCACTGGCGATATTTGGGATCGTGGGTGAACCTCCACATGTACCAGTACGTCTCGATGACCTCCGGCCGCAGGATGTAGTATTTCTCGTTCTGCCGCACGGCCACCGCCTCCAGGCCGCTGTCGAACTTAAAGGCCTCCGGGCCCAGCTTCAACACTAGAGGGGAGAAGAAGGAGGTGGAGGGATTAATGGATGACCAGAACAAATACACAATAACAAAAGGAGGTTAGATTGAGAGGAGAAGAACAGTAGAAAGAAAGAAAGAAGTGAAGGGAATTGACGTTGATAAGGAGAGGAAAAAAAGAAGTGAAGAAGTACAATTGAAACAAGGAAAGAAGCAAAGAACAGAAGGAACAAAAAGATAGGAGAAATGAAGAAGGAAATTGGAAAACATAGGGTTACAGTTGGGAAGGTAAAACAGGGAAAGAATGATGAATAGAGAAAAGAGGGAGAGGAGATAAACATTATCTTTTGCTGATATGAATTAGTGCCTCTCTCTGTGTGTTTGTGTAATAAGGCAATTCAATTATCCCACCCATTGCTTTGACTGGATTTCTATCTTTTTACAACCAAAGAGTTTTCTGGCAAATAAGTGTGATGGAGGGCATTACGGCTGTGAACAATTACTGAGAAGAAGGTGATGACAGGAAGGTCTTTGAGAGGGCGCACACACACACACACACACACACACACACACACACACACACACACACACACACACACACACACACACACACACCACACCACACACACACACACACACACACACACACACACACACACACACACACACACACACACACACACACACACACACCACACACACACACACACACACACCACACACACACACACACACACACACACACACACACACACACACACACACACACACACACACACACACACACACACACACACACACACACACACACACACACACACACACACACACACACACACACACACACACACACACACACCTCATTAGGACCTAACAGGCCGACTTCAGACCGTTTTTATCAAACTCTCTGCCGCCTGAACAGAAATGTCTCTCTTTTTCTCGCCCAAACCTCCCTCCCTCACGCGCTCTCTCCATCTTCATTTGTTTCCACGGCAACCTCTCCTCTTTCTCACAGCAACCTCACGATTTCTGACTACACACTCACACACACAATCATGACGCAGGATCAAACAGACACACACTGGTGTTTATTTGCTGACGACTATTGATCCTCGTGGGGAAAACATCCAATATCTTCTTAATAAATCTTGACTAATCTACCTACACTGAAAAAATAACAGCAGTAGGGATGTATGCTTTAGGTAGTTTCATTGTTTGTGATCCTAGATATTGCTGCAGCTGTTCTATTGATCACTTTTTAGTTGTTTTATTAGACTAAATAAATGAAGTGAAAAGGAAAGTCTTGTCTGGTAATAATAACGGCTTAAGCTGAAGAAAAAACACTGTCATTAATTCTCCTGGTTATTATTAAAGGTTATTTATTATTTACTCAGGAGTGCAAAACCCTTTTTCTTTGGTTAATTCATTTTCTCCTGTTTAATGTTAGAGTAGGTAAGAAGCCTGTACGTTTATTTTTCTCATTCGTTAGGTAAGACTTTTGTGTTAAAAGGTTTCTTTGTTTTGTGGTTTTGTTACTCCTGTGTGTGTATGTTTGTTTGTAGCCTTTATTTAACCAGGTTAAAAAATCCCATTGAGATCAACGATCTCTTTTTCAAGGGAGACCTGCAATATTATATGTATATTTTGGGTAATTAAATTTACCAAACGCTTTCTCTGTCTTGGCGTCCATGTTCTTGGGAGTGGGAAAAGTGGGGAGAGTGCAACATTGTGCTGCGCCTAGGTTCCCCTAGATCTGGGCGTAACACTGACATCCTGTGTAGAGTGTAGGGCTGTCCCGAATACCATTTTTCGGGCACTGGATAATCGGTAGTAATCAGCAGCGAACCGCTTCAACACGTGTATTTCGGTTTATTCACGGCATTCATTTTGTTATTCGACAGTATTGCTGTGTTATAGTTATTTGTTAATGTATACAACCCAATTTGTGTTCTTTGAAATTGAAAAGGATATTGCATTGTGTTTGTTGCTTTCGTTGCAGTTGTATATGTCTTAAGTGTAATTTGGCTTGGCTTCCTATTTTGTATGGACATGCTTTTATTTTCGAGGAGAGTTAGCGCTGTTGACAGGACGTTGTTGTTGCTATGGAAACAACGTGACGGAGATTAACGGAGAAAAAGTCATATCTACATATAAAGACGGAGAAAGTAAACGATAACGTTTATGGTTGAGTGTTAGCACCCCCCGAAGAGGCACAAGCTCTTACGTTGATATTGGAGTTTTCAATAAATAATAAAAAAAAAAAAAAACGAATATCCGAATATGAAATTGAAACCCGAATAGTACTCCAACGAACGAATATTCGGGTACAGTCCTAATAGAGTGAAGCAGGAATGAGTTTTAAACCCAGAAATGAGTTAGCATTTTACTACTTAAGGCTTCCCTTGTTACAAAGTCAACATTTATCAGAATTACTTTTTGGTTAGCTGTCTGAAATAAGGTCCATTTTTAATACACGCTTACGGGATTTTCACTTTTTGTTCCACGACATACAGTAAACACATTAGTAAATACCCCACTTGTGAATGTACTGTTCAGTAGTTGAAGTATTCTTTAACTACTGAACAGTGGTTTTAATATGTGGAGATTACTCTGCTGAACAAAACACTCAAGTATCATATAAGTGTATTTGACACGTATATAATCTGCAATAATCCAAACTCAATGAAGAAATCCAATTGGCTTTACGTCGAAGGAGCCCTTGTGATGCTAACTTTAGGGCCACCTACAATAATGCGTCATCCCTGCACCAATCTATCCCTCTAGACACAAATCTTTACTTTGCTAACATGGCAGTTTTATTCATATTAAGAGTACGTGTGTGTTCCTCCTCACCTGTCCGGTCGTAGGACTCGTGGCAGGTGTGAGCGATCTCGGCCCCGAGCTGCAGGTAGTGTCCGGCCTTATCGTCAGGCGAGCCGTCGGCGCCCAAAGCAAACATGCCGCCGGCGAAGCACGCCAGGTGCCCCATCTTCCTCTCCAGGTGGCCGTTCTTCCACTCGCCGATAAACGTCAGACCGCCGTTGGATTTGCGTATCAGGTGCCGCTCGATAGCCTTCAGGAAGGGAGTGTGTGTGAACGAGATAGAAGGAGAGTTATGTAGTTAGAGGGTGGATTTTAGTCAAAGTCAACTTTATTGTCAATCTTTCAGTTTGTGTGTACAGACAGAGAGATAGAAATACCGTTTCCCACAATCCAGAATACAAATATGTATAAACATATGTATAATCCTATATATACACAATCAACCGACACATTTATACACATGCACACATTAAGATAAAAACACAACAATCAATATATACAAAATAACAGTCACTTCAATATCTTTGGGAATGTACATTAGTGCAAGAAGTTATGCAGTTGGAGCGTGGATTTTTGGGCAGATAAGGCCAGAAAAAGTTGAATGAAGCAGTACACATTAGGGGAAAATGTGGACAGACGTGGATTATAGTGTCCATATGTGTGTGTGTGCAATTGTATGCATGTAGTGATTAAAATATCAGGATGACACATTTATAATTATGGTCAAAAAGTGATAATGACAGTTTTTATTATAGTTGGAATGTGGATGAAGATTATCAATGCAATATTAAAGGAATGAATGTGTGTGTGTGTGTGTGTGTGTGTGTGTGTGTGTGTGTGTGTGTGTGTGTGTGTGTGTGTGTGTGTGTGTGTGTGTGTGTGTGTGTGTGTGTGTGTATTTGTGTATTTGTGTGTGTGTGTGTGTGAGTGTGTGAATGTTTCAATTGGGTAAAGTTGTGTGAATGAGGCATTGACATTGAGAGCAGGTGTATGTGGGTGTTGGGGTCGAACAGAAGAAAACGGGACAAAATGGTGAGTGTAGAATTTGAAATGCAGACACATCTCTCAGCCCTCGCTCTGCAGCATCTGCTCTGCTCGCTCGGTGACAGATTTAATGATTGACAGACACTTATCCATCCGACACACAGCATCTGCCCTCTGCTCAATCCACTCTCACTTTACTTGAAAAACAAAAGCATCTGTCTTTTGTCGTGATGGGCTCCGATCACTATGAGGAGGGAGTGAATTAAATGTTCTTAAATCAATGTCGGTCACTTAAAAAAGGATAACTGGTAAATCATATAAGTCATAGTGGCTGCTTTTCTTGCTTAAAAAGGTGTCAGAATTGTATCTGGAGCTACACATGTGAGTCGATGCAGACACCAGCTGACTTTGATGTCTTTAAATCTTTTTGTCCTTCTAATAAAAATGAAAAATGTCTGTCCTCTTTATATCTGTCTGTTGCCATATGTATATCTGTTACTATCTGTATGTTCAGTTGCTGTTTTGATAAGTGTACATCTGTTGTGCAGCAGCTGTTAAAATAAATACTCCCTTGGCACGATAAAATCTGAATACATATTTCAAAAAACGATGCATTGAGCGTGAAATGAGATGTTGTCCTTCATATCCAAAGTGCTGTATACAAACATACTGTGTGTGTGTGTGTGTGTGTGTGTGTGTGTGTGTGGAATCAGTTTATTTCTTCCTGTGGCGTTCCAACAGGAAGCTGAGTGAAAGGTAATTGAATAATGAGTTTGTCTTCACCCTCTTTCTGCAGTAGTGTTTTGAAGTAGTGTTTTGTATGCAGTGCTGCAAGAATAAAAGGATGCGAATGTTGTTGAGCTGCGCAAAGAAAGTGATGAGTTTCTTAAAATATATAAATAAATTATGTTTGTTTTCCTGAGATTAGGCACAATGTGTCTCTTTGTTCTGTAGAAACAACTGTAAAACATAACACACACACAAATCTTTTTTAATGTACCTCAATGGCTTCATCGTAGGTTTTGCGGGCTTCTGTATCGGTCTTGTCGGACATGAGCCATGCCTTCAGCAGGTACTCGTAGAAACTGTCCCCAAGTCCTCCAACTGAGGTGTGATCTGGAGAGAGGAAAGAGAAGAACGGGTTAAATATGCAGAGAGGAGGAACCAGCGAGAGACAGAAAAAGAGAGAAAGCTACAGTGGATTATTTGTTCTTCATATTTGCCTGAAAGTCATTGGCAGAGGGCGACATATGGCATCAAAAGCATCTATCCAAACCCTGGGTAGTTACGATAAAAACAATATATTGGCAGCGGGTTCAAATCTCATTTCTAGTTTTTGTTTACTGTGTCCCTGGTGTGCTCACATTTCCATGTCCCCAAACGTCCTGATGAAAGTTTACTCAGCTTTCATGGCTGTCCGAATTTGCCGGACGCCCCGTAGAGAGGAAGGGACACAGCCAACACTGTTTCTGATCAGACTATCAAATAATATTTTTTTTTTCCCAAGGGAGTTAGAACCCAGTTGATCCAACTCTTTAATGACGCTTTGGTCAATTTCAGAGGCAATTTCACTGAACTATAAAAGATTTATGGAGAGTATTAGCAAAGAAAATAATGTTTAGCATATGAGATGTGTTATTGAGCATCATTATAACAGTTGATACTGTCAATACTAAAGTTTTATGAAAAGTTTGGGAGAAAAAAATCGACCTGTTTTATGATAATTTTGGCTTAGTGATTGGCAGTTAAAAGACATTGTTGTTGGTTGGCGAATGCAAACAAAAACTACTCATAAAACAATGTACTAATTACCAAAGTATTGGCATCAAAATATACTTAAAATACCAAAGGTGAAAGCACTCATTATGCACAATAGCCCATTTCAAAAGAGTAGATATTGAATTGTTTTTATTAATAGCAACAATCTCGCCGCCTCTCGCGCAATTATGATTTCAGATTTCTAGTTGGGGAAGCAAAAATTGACATAAAAGAGATGAATATTAACATAACAGTTCTCATAGACTAGATCTCTTCAGCTCTATATGATCACAATTGATATCTGATGCTTTGTTTACTACCTAAAGATCTCCCTCTCTGTATGTGATTAACATGCCTGAAGGTAAAATGGAGGGATGCGCAAACATGGGGAACGAGGAAGACGAAAGAAGCAATGAATTATTCAAACCTCACAAACAACCTTGGAGTCATCACTGAGGGCAGATTGTGAGTATGTGTTCATGTTTGTGAATCTCTGAGTTTGTATATTCACTCAGAAAATTACAGGTAGTCAATGAGCATGAAGGAGACCGTGAGAGACAGCTTGTCAATACATTTGATACAAGTTTAAATCTGCTCAAGGCTGATATGTAAATACGGACATTTGGTGAGTTCAAAAATCATTTAGGAGAGCCTAATCAAAGAGTTCCTGATACACTTATGTTGGCAATATAAGAGTGTGTGTAAGTGTGTAAGTGTGTGTGTGTGTTATGTAAGGATTTTCAAGGACTCACATCACTGTCATGTTTATATCTTTTATGCAGAGTGTATCCAACATCAGCAGCACAAAAGCACTCAGAATGATGCAGACTTCTTTTATAAATAATCCTCCTGATCCAAACACGAGCCTAAATAACCTGCAGACCTAGATGAATGCTTGTATATTTTATTATCATCCTGAGCGGCATGTGGCAGGTCACCAGTCCTCTGCTCCACGCCAAATGATCTTACTTGGTTGGTGAAGTATTGGATGAGATAAGTCTGCTAGCTCAAAGACAATCAGCATTGCACCTTGTTCACCATGGCTGTTTGCAGAACTCTTCTCCTCTGTCTGTCTAATCATCGAGAATCAATACCACATCTTCTTGAAGAAAAAGTCTACTGCTGTTTTTTGTCCCCAACCACAGCATGTGTTGAACTTTATTTCCTTTAGGGTTAATACACAGAAGAAAAGGCTTGTACCAGGAAGCTGTAAAAGAGCGTCTGTGCAGAGCCTCGCTCAGGGGAAGCAATACAGGTTCAGACCTGATTACAGCTCTTGGAAGCGGACACAAGTGGCCAAAATGTTTTTACTTCACAGACTCTGGGTTCAATGCTAGGTTAATAGCGAGGCACGCAGAAATCCCAAAGAGATCAGTGAAAAACCATCGGTACTTGAAGAGGAGACATCTTACAGGATGTTTTTCAGGGCATGTTCAACTAGGAGGTGAAGTTTTATAGAAAGAAATCTGAGCTACTTATTGATATGAGCAGCAGAAAACCAGAGCACTGTGCTGAATGCCATTATAATAATTTCTACTATGGTTAGTCCATTCCTTGCAGAGAGGGAGTATAACCAGCCCTGAGCCACATGGAGCTCATTTTTAAAGATGTATTTATATTCAAGATGTCGATTTGGTTGCCTCTGACCTTGGTTGGAGAAACTTGGGATCTATAAAAAGTTAAAACAAAGTTTACTTATTTTTCACGGGTGAAGCCATTTCACCCGAGGGCAGACATCTAGTCTCTCTTTGGATTCAGATTGGAAGTCAATACACTTCTGTTCATGTACAGAATAATTCATAAGCAGTGGAGAAAGTGAGAGTTAATGCGATACAATACAGTAGTAGTTAGAACACTGTAGCAAATACTATTAACAATTAATACATTAAAATGTAAGACAAGCACGTAAAATAATGATTAAATCAGGGAAAAGAGAGTATTATGTAAAGTCAAAAATTGCTATTTTCTTGTCACCAGCTGCTATCACTATTTCACAACAAGGTGATTGATGGTTGTATGTTTTTTTCCCAAGGCTTATCAACTATGAGTTTAATTTGTGTCTTTTGTTTTCCAGACCAATAACAATACAATCCACACAAAGTCCTGTGTATTCAATCATAAATCGAGATAATTGTCATTTGACACATCTGGTATTTTCCTACAAACATCCTGCTCCCTCTCACTCTGTCCACATGCCTCTGTGAGAGTTACCTTTACATGTAAGGCTGTACATGCACCCAGACTCCTCTAGTTGAGAGGCTTAAAATAACTAAAATGCTGAGCTCATCTTGCTTTGTCCCACTTTTTCTCTCTGAAGTCTTCAGATCTTCTTTTACCGACTGATCTGTTGCTTGATTTTTACAGTAAAATGGGGTTTTAAAAAAATCTGAAGCGCTGTCATAACTGCTTTTTAAACTTCAAACCTGATGTAATAAAAGGGAGCAGAACAGAAACACAAAGTAAGACTAAAATCATCCAATCAGACAAAAATAAACTGCTCTTTCACACAAGACTGTTTCTGATGTTAAAGAGGAACATAAGAAAAGGCGACACAGATTCAATTAGAATATGAAACAGGAAGTGCTCTCAAATTGTCTCATCTTTTTTTGTATTTTTTCCCTCGAGCATCTACCCTTTTCTGTTTCCCAGTCACCTCCCACACTGTTTTAACTTAGCATCCTCCCACACTGTTTTAACTTAGCATCCTCCCACACACACACTCCCTGCTCTCCTCTCCATCATTTGTTCAGCCCACCAAAGGATCTGGGTCATGCAGGGAGCGCCTGTCAATCAAAGTCTGCTGAGGAGGCGGCTTCAAACACACACTAAACCGCAGACACAAAGACACATGTACACAAGAGGACATCTTCACTGAGTCTCAGACGCACTCTGGTTCAAAACACAGGTCGAGGGCAGGAGCTGCTGAGGTACTACTAATAAAGTCTGTGTATGGGAAGGAGTGCGACAGTATAAGTTATTCCTATGCAGCACCAAACCCAACGAAGAACAGCAGAGGTCAGCCATGTCTCCGTCCATGTTCATGCATTACAAACGTCTTTTTGACTGACAACAAATCATTGTTAACAAATGCTGTTCAGCAGTCAAAATCTACTTGGATGCTGCGTAAGGGATAGTGTGAAGTATTCTGTTATTATTATTTTATAATGTTTTGTTCTATCAGCAAATTCAAAAGTGTGATGTTTTGCTTACTGACGGCTTTTTTGCCTTTTAAAAAATAAGCCGATCAATATTTTAAAGAGGCCTTTGTATGCTTTTTGGGGTTTTCCCTTTCCTGTAGTGTGTTAGGGTTTGTTTACTTATGTCACTATGTAACACTTTCGCTTCTATTGGTTAGCGCTCTGAAACATAAGAGGCGGGACATCTCTAAGCAGTTGACCAATCACAACAGAGCCGGCCAGCTAACCAATCAGAGCAGACAGGGCTCTGGTTTCAGACAGAGGGTGAAAAGAGGTGCTGCAGCACAGGCAGTATGAGACAAATAAAGAGCTTTTTGAACATTAAAGCATGGAGACATGTCCCAGCAGAGACACTACATACTGATATACACCAGAACATTTGCATAATATGTTCTCATAAAAGATCATTTGGAATCACTTTTCCTGAGGCAGAGCCAGAAGGAAGTAAAATGTAAGTATTAGTCAAATATAACTTTAAAAAAATTTAAAACTGTCAGAGAGATAAAATCAGCTACTGTTTACAAGTTGTTGCAAGTGAGCACCCAACGAGTCAATCACAATGACAGACTAGATAACCAAGTGAAACCACCTTTAAAAAATAAATAGGAATTATCAGGCTACAACGAAACATCCATAGTCAACAAAAACAACAATACAAATTCTGAATTAGACGTATGTTTGTGCCTAAATGGGTGTTGGTGAGAGACAGAGAAAGGAATTACATGTTTACCAACTATATATAAACGTCTGTAAAATTCAGATTGAGTAAAGTTTTAGTAATAACTTATTCCAACAGGAGTGTTTGACAGACGTCGTATGTGTGTGTGTGTGTGTATGTGTGAGCAGGTAGAGTGTCGCCGTGTAGGTTAAAAAGAGGGAGTAGGTGGTGTGTGTGTGTGTGGGCAGAGGAGTGTGTGGTAATAAGGCTGTCAGTCTCAGCAGGATCTCATTAAGACAGAGACGCTCAGCCTCATTCCTCATTAGTGTGACTGAGCTACTGTCTACACACCTTTAACACACACACACACACACACACACACACACACACACACACACACACACACACACACACACACACACACACACACACACACACACACACACACACACACACACACACACACACACACACACACACACACACACACACACACACCCCCC